TCTCGCAGGGTCTCCCAGAATTCCGCAATTATATTTTGACGTTGGAACTTTAAGAAATTAGTTGAAGTAGCTCTAGAAGTTCCAGCGCGGAATCGGTTGACGGTAACGCGTCGCGACCGAAAGCGAGTAACGCGAGCTTAATTCGCCGCGGACGGTTAACGCTTTTTCTCCGGCGAGCGTGTACACGACGACACGATCTAAATTTAGCCGGGAACTAAATGGACGTGGCTACTAACGAGATTCGTCTTTTGCGAATAAACGGCCTTTCAGACGCGCGCGCGTACGAGCCGGACGGGGCAAGACGACGCAAGCTCCCGCCGCACCTGTCAATCAAGCAACTTGTACGTCGCGGATGTCGAAGTGATTCTATTCCGACACGATTCTATTTCTTATCGAATCCCTCTTATCGCGCTCTCGTACTATGTAGGTCCGGTATCTTTCGTCAGCTTCTCTCTCTTGATGTTTCTAGACTTTGTGATTTATGATTGCGCTTCCTAATTACCGAATTTATGGCCCGGCAGATTATAGTCGTGCGCGCGGAAGATAAATATACGAGCGGCTCGCCTCGGCGAAAATTGGATTGGAAGTCGCTTATACGGTAACGACCGCGGCAACAATAAAAAAGTGATAGGTTTTTATTGGATATTCGTTAATTGGTACGCAAAGGAAAGTGGTGAACAGAAACGACGGTGGATCGAGAAAGTAAATGATTTTCTTCGGCTATTAGAGGTCTTTAGCGACACGCGAAGTTTTATCTACAAATAGTCCTTCATTTTCTACGCATTCTCGAGTTTCGCAGTTGGAAATTGTTGAACGGTTCGCGTCGGTATCGCGCGGACGAGGGGAATTACAGGAGTTAATGACAATAATGATAGTGCTCGCCGCGATAAGGCGCATCGACAGAAGATACAGCGAACGTACGAACGGCGCGTGCTCTGAGGTCGGGGTTAAATTAATCTTCGCGCGATAATTACGCTATCGATAAGATCAAACGGTGACCGTATCTCGTTGGACCATCGGCCATCCTTTTCCTCTTTCCTCTTTGCATGCGATATCGCGGCCCGAAAAGTGTGTCGCACGTGTTCTTCCCGGAAATGATTCGGAACCCGATGACAGTCACGACGCTATGATTAGAATCTTCGGTGAAGAAGGAGAAAGTATTGGTCTTAACGATCTTTTAATAATTTCCAAATATTTATCGCTCGCCGAATCAACGGTGTTGATTTATTATTGCCGCGGCGAAATGTCCACGTTGCCCGGAAACGGAGAACAAGAAGAGAAAAGCACGCGTTTAGAAGAACTTCATTTGAATTGCTTATTCGCGCTCGTTTACTGAAATTCCAGCGAAGAAATCATCGAATGGCAATGGTACACGCCTTTCATTTGGAAAATGTTAATTCGGACACATTCAGCCGAGATTTACGTTCCTCGATTCTCACGGAGCTCCCCAGCATCCTTATCAAAGATCTTTAGGAGGGGTCGTAAATTGTTTGCAACCTTTTTCTCTCGTGAAATAAAGAAACGTAGGTCGTTCACGGTGATTCCTACGCAATGATCGAGTGTCCGGGAGCCCCGTCGTTCCGCTTTGAAAAAGCGTCGAAATACGATAAATACGGGCGACGCGTGACCGAGCGTTTAAACTAATTTGGAAATTGGTTCACGGTGAACGGGAGCGCATTATCATAGGACACACGCGTGCGATCTCGAAGCCCCTATCCGTCGCAGGATCTAGTCCGCTCGAGCGACGCGTAACAAGAAAAATACATTAGGTCGAAAACGGTTCGCGCTACCTGTAGCTTCGGGACACGCGCTGCAACGTTCCGCATAGTGATCGCCACCGATGCGACGCGTTGCGTAACTATTTAAACGAGATTTACGCGAGCCGATTAGGCTCGAAAATGATCGCTCCGCGAATCGGATCACCCGCCGATCGAGGGAGGTTCGGCCAAGGCGATCCATAAATTTTGCTCGGCCGTTAATTGAAAGCCCGCGACGGATCGTTTGGCTTTTGTCTTCTTTTTGCTTGCCCTCGTTGAACGCGAAAGCGTTATCGTCGCGCGACACTGGAATACACGATGAGCCGGATTCCATCGTTCCATTATCGAGCACGTTCCCCGGGCATTCGTAAAGTAAATTGCTCCGAATTTTAATCCATTCATGTTTAATCGCGCTTACCGGGGGTGTCGATGGTCGAGGAGTCGGTTTATTAACGGATTAATTAGAGAGTTTTAGCGGACGCGGGACGCGATCGAGTCCGGACGGCCGGGGAATTGAAATAATCCGGCGCCGTGTGGACCGTGTTCCCTTCCAGTCACGTGGTCACAGGGACTCGCCGAAGCTTTTTCATTAATGAAACCTCGGCTTTAATGTGTCCAGCGTATCGATAATCTTAACGAGTTTGCTCGGACGGTACACACGTCCTGCTTCCTGTCTCATTCGGGTAGTGATGTTCGGCGGTCGGATCAATAATCGATAGCCATCCATACACAATAATCACGGACACGTGTGCACGTGCACGTCGTTCGGATCTCCGGAGTGAAACGCTCGCATTGTCGCGAAACGCGACGCACCGATGCATATTAACTACGATCCTGCTGCGGTCCCACGTAATGTATTGGTCGCGCACGCAGCCGTCTCGATGCGTCGGAAACTGACAAATCGAGTCTGTCGAAAACGGGACGGGACGGGACGGGACGGGACGGGACGGGACGCGGATTAATCGCGGCCGATGCCCGTAGCCGTCACTTTTTGCGGCTTTCCTCCGATATCCGCCGGAAAACGATATTAACCGTTTGATCGCGGCCCTTCCGTTACGATGGGAAACTGGTTTCGATTTTAAAATTGAAGATATCGCGGCTGATGCGCTCGACAGATATCCGCGTGGCTCGACCGCGAGAGAAAAATGTTACGCCGTCATTTTCGTGACGGTTTATCACCGATACGTTCCGAGCTATCGATTTCTTTCCATTGTGACGTATCTGGAAAAGCTTATGCCTCAGCGTGCTCGGGGATCGAGCGTAATGCGCGGTGAAAGCGGTCCGCATTCTTAGCGGTGGAGCCGTTCCTGCGATTTCGCGGTCAAAGGATTGCGAAACGCGCAATCAGCTTTGGCTCGAGCGGACGACGAAATTGATACGCGACGCGACCCCCAGCGAAAGAACGTTTCGTGTCAAGGTTCCTCCTCGGCGACGTCGCGGCGAAAAGCGGGCGGAAATACGACGGGAGATTTATTGAAATCCGCTCCGCGAGTTCGGTAATATATGACCGATTCGATTCGGACCCTCTTCGCCGGGAGATCGCGCGGAATTATTGGACGCCGCGGGCCGGCTCCCGCATTCTCCGTAATTGCATCTTTTCCGGGGACGATGTATCAAAAAGAATTTCGCGCATTATGAGTCCACTCGATAGTAATATCCGGTTCACCCGCAAAATCGTGGCTCGGTAAATGCCGGATATTCCCGATTGAATTTTAATGCTCGTTCCCCGCGGATCGGGATCAACCGATCTCGCTCGCAATTTCGTGAAAGATTGCAGAAATTAGGGAATTTAGCTGTCCCGATGTTACACCGACGCTTTCCTCTTTGGTCGGCGCCGTTTCAGACAACTGGCGGATAGGAAAGAGGAGCAGGATAAAGGGGACGGTGGCTGCGAGATGATACTATTATCAAGGATTTTCTCGGATTTGAGGAATCCGTAGCCGTGACCTCTTTCCAACTTTATTAACTCCGATTGCCAAAACAGTCTTTTTTATCTCTTCCGCGGGGATGCAATTTCCCTCGTTCGATCCGTTCGTTGTAAAGTTTAATCACGGTCGGTTGCAAAAGACCGCTCTCCCGTTATCCGTTGGATTGTTCGTTCCGTGCCGCGAACAATCTAAATAGCAGCGTGTACTTTACAAGAATTGATTATTATTTACACGATTCAATTTACCGAACGGTTGTTCGAGACTGATTAAAATCGTAGATTAATGCGCGCGCTGCCTTCTCGATTCCTTTCAATTTCCGGAGGACCGCTGAATAATCGCGTTTAACGGGGCGAGGAACGAATTTCCGAGAGTAAACGAAAACGGTACACCGGCCGAGCGATATAATTTCACCGGGAAGCGGCGGTGGTATCTGAAATTGAATATTTAAGGATCGGTGGTCACGAAAGAGATTCTTCTACGGTTCTTTTGGGGCGGCTCGCGAGCGCCGGTTCGCCTGGAACGGATCGGATTCGCCGGTTCGATCGAAACTCCCTCGTGTTCCGGATTCCATTATTTCAGGGAATTACAGGACCGCTATAATCCGCGGTTCTTAATGAATTTGTCGAGCGACCGGCTCGCAACGGTGTGTCCCGATGCTAGGCAAATTGCAGATTCTGCTTGCGACACATGGCTTCGGTATCGGAAGCGAGGGCATAAATTCAATTTCACGTATTGTAGCCGAGGACGGAAAGCTCCCGGTGTTGATTAAAAGCTCCGCGCACTTTGCCGAGCTTCGTGAATTAATACGGATCGCTAGGACGGAATCACCTGGTCCGGATGCATAGAATTAAACCGCGTTCTCCCCCGCAAATGGAGTCGCGACGCTAAACAACTCATTCTCCGTGTGGACCTTCGCTTTTCCTATCGGTCCTAGTATTCGCTGCGAAAGCTGTCGAACATTATTAACATGGAAAGTTAATGACTGCTAACTCGGAGTTCTCCGCGCACCGTTTTGCCGAGGAAAGGGAGATCGTATCCCGATTCTTGGCTGGCGTAATCGGATCGTAAGACGCGGTATACCGAGTATCAAACTTTATTTCTTCTCCCCGTGTGTTTTCTCCGCTTACCAGGGATCGATAGAAAACACCCGCTCAGCTCGTGTGCTCGGGAACGCGATGCAATTAACGTTTTTCGCGTGCGTTATCGTACAGGTTTCACTCGATCCGATTGCCACTATTTTTATTTCAACGCGGAAAAACGTAAACTTGCGTGTTCCCTCCTTCTTGAACTGTACATTTCGTTTCGCTTCTTGCAGCGACTTGTAGGATTCTCCTTTGAATCCACGATAAAGTCTCGGTGTAGCGATAAAAAGAGAAAGAGCAAAGGGAAAACGTATGCAGAGTACTGACACTTTTTCCGCCCCCCCGAAAGGATAAAGAAAACGTGAAACGGCCGTGAAAAGGATGCGAGCGGTCGGACGGCGGATCAAGAGACAAAAGGTTTCTCGGCGAGGCTGCAAGCATCTCGGGGTACTCGCGAGATCAGGCTCGCAAATTACGGTGCACTTACGCGGCGCGAGCAAAGGCGCATCATGGAAAACGTCCTCGCGAGCGCTCGTCAACTGGTGTACCAGCCTCTGAAGTGTCATCGCTAAGAAGCTAATCGCAGTCATGTCGAACGGGTCTAACACGACCGACGATTTTCTCGACTACGACATCAACGAGTCGTTCAGCCACTTCGACTGGGCGGAACTTGGCCCCGTCGTCGTCGTCTATTCCCTCACGTTCATCCTTGGATTAGTCGGTGAGTACCGCTTCGTCTCGTCCGACGAGACAACTTCTCTTTCTCTTTTTCTACCACTGCCGATCGCCCGGCGAGAACGTTCCTCCTCCTTCGCGACAGCAGACAAGTATGTTGGGAAATTTGTAGGCGGCAGCTGTTTCGTAATTTAGTTTCGCTATTTGATTCGAAGCCCGCGTTCTCTTAAGCGAGAGACGAATTTGAAAGTCGAGCAAAATAATCTAGGGAAACATGCAATTTCTATGATCGATTGCACAGAGATCGATAAGGGAACGGCGCGTGAAATTCATGCTAAAATCGCACTCGCTTCTTTTCTCGTAATCCAATAGTTCCAACGGGATCACGGATTTACGAGCGGGTAATTAAGCGGAATTTCAATTTTCAGTTTGAAAATTATGGAGGTCGGAATGGCGATCCCAAGCGGATTCGCAAGGTAATCCGAATAAACATCGGGTGTTGTTCGAATATTCGCAGTCGTTCGTCGCGATCGATTCCCCGTTATCGTTTTTAACCGCGCGGCAAATTGTATCGCGCCTCGCTAGAAAAAATGATTAACTTTATCAACGATTTCCTCGGTCTTGTCATTCGCTTCCGTGCAGTACCGGTCAAACTCGACGCGCGATTACAACGCGCGGAATGATCGGAAAGTTGAAGATTATGATGGAAATTAATTACGAGCACGATTGTCGTAATTTGAAAGGACTATGGACAAAGGCGCCGTATCAATCCCGTTCGCGGCGGCACAGAGGAGAATGGACGCGGCAACCGATGCAAATTGTCGCGCAGAATAGAGATTCCACGGGAGCGGAGCGTGGGGAAACCGCGATGCAATCTAACTTTAAGTGCGCCATAAGCGTAAAGTTTGCCGTTAATATTATTACTAAGCAGCGGCGCAAGCGTGCACGGGCGATCTAGGATTTACTTGAACGAGATTCCCTTAATTCGGAGTTACACGTGTATCCGGTCGGGGCGGAAACTTTGATAGACGGAACAGGGCCGTTGCTTATCGATTCTCGCGCCGTGTTTTCCTTCCCGTCCTGGTTCGCGAAACCATTTAGGTGCGACGAACAAGTTCTTATCGGCGTCGCAACTATCTGTTATTCTATCGTGCCATTGCCGTTTCACGCCGATCGAATTGCGCGAACCAATATGAAAGAAAACCAACGGGAAACACCGGCGAGAGATTATTCGTTTGCGTCGGGTCTTGACGGGAGAAAAATGTTAGCCGACAGAAGAGGGTAGTCTTAAATACGCTCGCGGTGGAAACAACTGTTGAATTATTCGAAAAGAGATCCATTCGACCGGCGTCGATCCGTTAAACGCGATTGTAACGCGAAATTGTAATCAACTCGCCGCGTCTCGATACCGAGGGCATCCAGAGGGGCGTGTTAATTATCAACTTTTAATGAGAAACTGCAGAAACAACGCCGCTAACGCAGTTTTATTTCAGGGAACGTCGTCATCATCGCTTCCACGCTCTGCCCGAGGTTGCGACCCCTGCCCGCGACCCCGACCAATGTCTTTCTCGGCGGTTTGGCAACGGCCGATCTCCTTCTCATACTCTTCTGCATTCCCGTTAAGGTAAGTCTCGGTTTCCAGCAAATTCGCCGTTGCTCGTTAGACAACTATACCGCGATTAACCTCGTTCTTTAAATTCTTCGAACGCCAGCTCGAACAGCATTTCCTTTGTTTCGTTCTGCAGGCTCTGTTATTTTCTAAATGAAGTATAAACCTAGGTAATCGTTGCGTTCCGAGTACAAACGCAACGTTAAATCAACGAGTGCAGAGAGTTCAGGTTTAAACGAAACGTATGCGCAGATAAGTGCACACGATACTCGCGGTGTACCTATAATCAACGTTCTTGATCCTCCCACGGTACAATCTACAGTGTAATGAGAATCTTCAAAGGCTTCGCGGCTCTCGATATTAGCGATGCTTTAATCGAACTCCTGTACTGCGTTTTGCGGTTCGTGACTCGAAGAGAAGAGAAGAGAATAGAAGAGAAGAGAAGAGAAGAGAAGAGAAGAGAAGAGAAGAGGAGAGGAGAGGAGACATCTGTTTCTGTCGCGGAAACATTGCAATTTTATTTTTTAATACTTTCCTCCCGAACCGACCGGCTGAGAATGGAAAATGATCGGTTTCCGTCTGTGGCGCAGCTGCGAGTTGTTAAAAATGAAAAAAGCACATATCGATAAAAATAAAAGGAACAAGAGTGGATCGGTACTCTCGCGCGAGAAACCAACGGCCATTGGAAACAACGCGAATACTTGGAAAACGACTTGGCTTCGCGCCCGACTCTTCGAACTCGGTAACGCCACGAAATCGGCAATGTGAATGACTCGGTACGACGATAATCTGGATCACAACGAAGCGTAGATAGTATTTAGAATAAACCGAGAGAATAACAATGAACAGAATTACCACTCGACCGCGAATGTCGAGCAGCGAATTTAGACGAGAGGAATTCAGGTCGGCGAGAGGAAAAGGATACATAAATTATCGCGTGCACTTCTCCGTGCAAGGATAAAATGGCTAACTAGGTAATAGATTAGCTGGGAGAAGAACAAGGGAGAATTTGCCAGAAACTTTGGTAATATGGCAAGTTGGTGTTCCCTTGAATTTATTACGGTGCGGCTAAAAGCCATTTTCGATATGAAGACCTGCCTGACAAAGAGTCTCGGTTGGTCCGGGCAATTTAATTGGCTAGAATGGATCCCGAGGAACGAGTCCGCGAGATCAGCGGTGGGCTCCGACTGTTTTCTTTCCTTGCATTATTTATAATTCCCCAAAAGGAATTCTCGCGACGCGCGCTTTGTATTCCAGCGAGAAACGGCACGGTTAATTAAAGCGATCCGTATGCTTCGGCGAGCTTGTTATTCCGCTCGTAGTCAGCCGGTTAGAATTCTTTCGCGAAACGCGGAACTGGCGAACGGATAAATGGCAATTAGCTTGGTCGCCCGAAAATCCCCTGAAACAATAATCACCAGTTTATCAGCGATGCCGGCGCGGTTTGCCGTTTCTCGTTGCGTTCCGAATTTATCGCGCGGCTCGACCGAGTTTTCCTCTCGACGCTCGTTCATCTTGATAGCGGCATAGTGGCAGGGTCACCGGTCGTTCCTTTTTTTCTATGACCGAGCTGTTGTCACACGACCGTTCCCGTGATCGATCGCCTCACGACCGAAGTGTGCGGTCTCGTTTATCGAAACAACACGGGCCTCCCCTGTGAACGCGAGCCTACCGGGGGCTTTATCAAATTCCCGGCTTTCGAAGCCAAAAACCGGGACTGCAATTAAGCTGTCCGCCCCTTGTACCGGCTCGCCTCGCCTCGCCTCGCCTCGCCTCGCCTCGCCTCGCCTCGCTCGGGAACGAGCCGACGAATTTCAGGAGGAAATTAATGAATCGCGGGACAATATTGTTCCTCGGGGATCCCTCGGAGATAAAGAAAATAAGTTTCTTAACTTTGAACGAGAGTTGTCGTTGCGTCGAGCATTTGTCACGGGAGGAATTATCAGGATTTCCGCTTCTTACAGCGGACAATGGATTATTATTAATAGCAGCTACGTTCAAGTACAAACAATAGCCCGTAACATCGGGAGATATTATCCTCTTGGTTCAATTGATTGCTATTCAATTAATTCATAGTATGATTCTCTCGCGTCTCGACTGTTGATCAAAAACTTGCATTTGATTAGTACATTTGTCCGTTACAAATTCCATTAACAGCGTAACTCTCACGGAATCCCAATTGTTCGCCGAGCTCCTGATTATTCGTATTCATTGAGTGTGTATTATTAGAGAGAGTCGGGTGCAGTCGAGGGCAAGGTGTCCGTGCAACAATTCGGTGAATCGGTCGGGTGCAACGGTCGTGCTCGGCCGAAAGGGAATCGAGACGTTTCGTCTCGGAACGAGGAACACGGAGACGCCGCGACGCGACGCGACGCGACGCGATGCGTCGGTGTCAAGGCGGCGGGGCGCGACGTTCTGGCCGGAATGAAAATAAAATCGAATTGTGCCAAGTTCTAAATTTACGTATCCGAGAAGCAACTTGCGCGTGAACCTCGCCTCGGTTTTACGGGCTCTTCGGGTCAATTGCACGTTATTCGTCACGTTCGCGTCAGTTTCCTTCCGGCATGCGAGATTAAACCCGTCTCGCGTGAATTTTACGCGCTTCGGACTTAGCTGCTTGCGCCGCGACGTGGAATTATTTCACCGGATTTCTCTTCTTTGTACGTTTCCCTCTGAACACCCCGTTCCACGCGACACGCGAGATCACCGTTTCAATTCCGTTAACGAGACAGCCTTACACAGCAGCTTGTACACAGAGCGAACATTTGAATTGAAATTGTTCGCTGGGACGAATTCGAGTCGCGATGAATCAGGCAGCTCGACTTTACAGAGAAATTTGCGGTTTTGTAAATTCAAAATTTCTCAAGAATACATCGTATGAGCCCATGATGGTTCGCGGAAGTAGAATCGCTTCGTTGAACGATACTCGGTTGCATTATCATAATGAAGCGAGCCTTCGAAAACGAAATAGTCCATTCATTGTTTAAATCGTTTCCACTCTCTGCCTCCCAGCTTCCGAATATCGTTTCAGAAAGTTGGTCGATGTTCTGTAAAAGCGTATTACCGTCCCAGACAGTACTTAAAACTTGGTTTCTTAGGATAGAAGAGGTGCCTTCGCGGGGGAAAGATTTTCCTTGCGATTCGGTTAACCGATTTTCGTGCAGCCTGTTAATTCCTCGCCGGGCGTGTTCGTTCACGAGATAAAGAGATCCTTGAGGAGGTTTCCCGTTAGCCCCAAGGGAATAGGGTCAGGGGTGGGTCGTGTGCTAGGGTTCACGCCGAAAGCCGAGGGACCTTCCTTCCTTGTGGTCTCTATTGCTTTACACATGGCGATGGTTTAATCCTTTGCGTAACGAATTCTTAACTTTTCTTTTCAACTACTTTGCAACTACAGACATTTCGTTGGATCCTCTTCAATTATTTCTGTACAGATTTAAACAAGTATTCATAAAGAAGGAATGATGCGTGATAAAAATCCATGGCATGGACTCGGTTGACGTACCGTCTCGCTCATCTTGGTCCCGCTCGCCATTCAGTCTGTCCGGCTTGATCTAATTTATCGTCGACTGAATACATTCCTTTCAGAGGCAATGACGTCGTCGAACGACATCGTTGAAACCTTCCACGTTTCCTTCCCTTGCGATCTCTGCGATTCGCGTATTTCCTCGGGCAACGGAGGACATCTGGCCGCCGCCTCCGTTGGTTTCTTCGACGATTTTTTCGTCGCGACCAAGTGAAACTTCGCCCGTAGCCTACGGCTTCGAAAACCTCAGCCCGTAGCTGCTTCTTCGAATTTCGAGCTGTTTGGATAGAAAATATCTTTCGAAAGCAGACGCTTCGTCGAACGATAAATTCTTAATGTATTTTCTGTGTACACCCGCGCGTCCGACGAAGATAACAAAACGACGCTCGTAAAACAATAGACCACTCCATTCTTTCTCTGTGCAAAATAAAAATATCCGAAACACCTCTCCGATGTGTACCGGCGCGTTCCCACCGGAGTAGAATCATCGTGGTCATGTGTATCGGCGAGAGAACGCGGGCGGATGTAAATTTTCGTTACTTTTGACGGTCCATTCTCCGTAGAAATGAAATTCCACACCGGGCACAGTTGCACGCGCGCACGGCAAACGGAATATTAATGCGGCGTAGCGGATGGCTGATACTGAAAGTGATAGAGTGTTGTTCAAAACTACCAAGTTCGCGGCGAACGATAAAAAACAAAAGGCGGAAAAAGAATACAAATAGTGGGAGGGAGGAAAACTCGTTTGTTTTCCGGCTTGAACGTCGGAAACAAAAACCGACTGCGCCGGTGGGGTCGCGTCGCGTCGCGTCGCGTCGGGGTTCGTTCGGTCGTCTGATTTATGAGTTCGGAGCGAAAGAAATGTTAACTTATTTACATAAGGTTTCATCCCTCGAATTCATCCGTGGAAAAGTAGCCGAGTACCGTTCGAGTCCCTTGGGGCGCAGCTTCAATTTTGCAGGAGATCCTGTTCCCTTTAATCGTCGGTTTATCCTTTGAGACACACGTCGGTCCCGTTTGTCCCCCTTTTCCCCATGCTCCGAAGAAAGTAATGTAAAATGCGAGGTAAACGACGCCGAGCGGGATTGCTAGACGCGTGTCTGTCGTTTGACAGTTATTTCCCGGTCTCACCTTTGCGTTGCCACGAGCATTCCAGTTTTATTGCACGCAAAACGTGTACCTACGTATTCTTGAGCTTCCATGCATGCCGGATGCACCGAGAAAGGTGGCACAGTTGTCTGTCTTATTCGGTTGTTCTTCAGAAGTTTGACGGACGCTTGTCGCAGATCGGAGAACTTTGGACAATGGAGAGAAAATAAAGAGAAACTTCTAGCACGTTCGTCTAGCACTGGAAGTACTAGATAGAATGACCTATTCGAAATTCCTACTTTCGTTCGATTCGCCTGTACATTAACGAGATATTAACAAGTCATCTAAACTAACAAGTGAATCAGGATCTCTTGATACAGACGTACAAAGAACAGTCGGTTTG